TTTCACCCTCTGCCTGGAATTGAACTCAGGAATCTCGCTTGCAAAGCGAGTGCTCTAATCACTGAGCTACAGGACTCCACTGCTCTGCGACGATTTTTGCTCCTCGTTGTATCCAGTCCTCCCCGCTGATTGGTGCGTACATGCAGGCAAGGGATGAGGGAAGCTTCGGACTCCTGCAGTTGATTAGCAATGTCATAGTTTAGGCTCACATGTGAAGAACGATCATGTAGATAAAGCTACGTTGCTAGATCAGTTGAGTTTAGATCGGCAGATGCTCTATTCAGGCTGCATAGTCCTCTGGTCAGATCACCTGGAGTGCAACAACAACTTGCATTGTATAGCGACCCTCATGCAGGGTAGCGTCCCAGAGCGCTTGACAGTGGTGGAGCGTGACACCTTGCCTGCCCCACCATTGGCGGGCGGGCCTTCAGCCTCTCTCCCCGCTTCCTGATCCCAACCACTAGCTCAGGTGCTGATCCCTGACTGTCCAGCACCTTGGGACGTCCTCCTGACATGAAAGTCGTTATACAAATGTAATTTATTGTTGTGATAAGGTGCTGTATCAAATGCAAGGATTAGTATTATTATTATTTGTGTTGTTCCACAAGATTTGAATGTTGCCTTCAGAGGGGCAGGATTGCTCATGATTGAATAGTGCAGGTGCAAGGGTGGAACAAATCATCTGGAGTTCGGTCCGATGACCCTTGGAGATCAGCGAGTCTCTGCCGGACCATTTCTCTGCAGAATAAACATGAGAAAAAATTCCGCTGGATAAGGATTTCACTCCATTACAAAAAAAGTGATTTTTTTTCGGTCAGCCTGGTGTCTGACACATGCAGAAACCCATGACCACACTTAAGAGTATCCAAGCTGAGAATTCCATGCATCCCACATGCAGAGAAACCAGAAAATTATATTGGTTATTCTGAGAATCAAACATCCTCTGTGCAAAAAACATTGTCAGGCAGGACCAGAGTCTCAGGCTTGCACCACTGACAATACTGTGGTAGTGGAAATCGATCTTAAAAGTTTGAACAGTGAATGATTAATGCCCGAGCTGGTCACCAGGAGTACCACGTGAGCTTCTGGGTTCTTTTCATAAAATCACAATATTGGTTTGATTGAGGAAGCCCTTCGGCTCAAACAGTTTTCTTAAATGAATCCTGGCCTCAATCACCCTTCTTGGGAACATGTTCCAGCTGTCAATTATCCTGAGTAAAGAAAAACGTCCTGATCTGCCCTGAAATTGCCCTTTGTGATTCTAACCTCGTCTTGTTTTATGTACTTTGTTGGTTCATCCTAAAGCATTGTTCCAGGTTTAATTTTTTTCTCATCTCTGTCTCTCTCTCTTCCTCACCCCAACCAACCTACTTTGTAGGGTTTTGTGCACTTGAAATCACAGACTAGAATTCTTTTCCAAAACTAGTTTCACTTCAACAATGAGCTCACATGTATTTTGCAAGACATAAAGATATGTATCAACATTTCCTGAAGGAAACTGGACTTATCTAATTTATTGCCTAGTGTTTGACCTGCCACAAGACAAAACTCATTTATTGCAGGTTTAACTCTCACTTGTTTATGCTGCCTCGGTCTGTACTCACATCATTTGACTTTCTATAGGTATAAAATCCCCTTTGACAGCTCCTCAGGTAGTGATTCCAATTGATACAGTTTACAAATACTGCTACTTCTATTAATAATAATAACACTGGATGTATCATCTTGTCAAGACGTCTCAAAACACTTCACAGGATTTTACTGTGAAGTATAGTAACTGTGTATTTGTAGGCGAATGCGGCAGACAATTTGCACATCGCAATATCCCACAAATAGCCATCAAATGAGTAACCAATTTTATATGGGGGATTGTTGGCCAGGACACCGGGAGAAACTCTCTTCTCTTTCAAGTAGTACCACGGGATCTTTCATATCACCCGAACAAGCAGATAGGAATACAGTTTCACGTCTTATCTGAAGGACGACACCTTTGATAATACAGCCTTAAGAGGAGTCAGCCTACACTGAGTTCAAAAACCTGATGTGGGGGTTAAACCCACACATTTCTGACTCCGATGCGACAGTACTACCAGCCGAGCCAGGTTGACACTTTTATAAAGATCATTTGAAAGAATTGCACAAAGTTTGTCTGTTGAGAAGCTTGGCAGTTTCTCCATTACCTGTACCACTTACCCTGTTGTGGTGATAACATTCACAGTGCCCCAGTACACTGTGTGACTTTTGCCTGGTTTCTGCTCAGACTTGCAGCCAAAGCCATCATTTTGGGACAGAGAGTGCTGGTAAGCTGTTCAACTGTGACCCATCTTGACATGTGCACTTTCCAGTTAATGTTAATAGCACTGCTTTAACTCACCCTCATCTATAAATCCTTCTATTCCCTGGTACCTCCTTATCCGATCTTTTCCTACCCTATTCCTCGCTCACCTCCGCCGCTCAGCTAACTCAAGCTTGCTGCACATCTCTTACCCTGTCCATGCCACCGTCAGCCTTCAGTCCCTATGCTCCCAAACTCTGAAACTCTTACCGTCTACCACCTCCCCTTTTCTTTCTGTCTTTAAGTGAGTATTAAATCCTACCTCTTCAAACCACAGCCCTCTCTCCCCTTACTGTGTCCAACCCTGTCCCTGTGAAGTGCTCCAAGACTTTACCCATGTGAAGAGTGCCTGATGCAAAAGGTACTCTAAAAATGCAATTTGTTGTATAAATGCATACTGCTGTGTTGCTTTAGCTCACTGCTGCAGACTTCACTTCAGTCTGCAAAATGACCCCGTTGACGACATTGGGCAAGTATACATGTGTCAAAGTAAACGCACGTGAAATGAAACAAAAAGTTCCTTTAAGATATACATTTTAATTGATTTGGCTATACTGGTATTTACATTTTACTCCAAACATCTGGAACATTCAATTGGGTAAAGAGCGGTATTATACTCGATGCTGTTGACTGAACAGAGGCAGTTGGATTCTGTGCAAATGTGTAGTGTTAAAAAGTCTATTTAAGAGACCAACTCATCTTTCTGATGGTGGTAAATATGGCAGATTTGTTTTGAACCGTGGCTGTAAAAATCTACTATAGGTTGCAGCCTCACACAATTTTTATTGTGCGAGTCCTCTTAAGCATACGACAGTAACGTAAGATACAGTTTATAAATCTGCTTAAAAAGAAAACGGCAACCAATGTGCAGGCTGCCTTTGAAAGAGATTTTATGGGCAATCCAGATTTCATGATAATTCTCTGCCCCATTTTGCACCGTAAAAAATCTGGAACAATTTCAAAATTCATCGAATGATTTCCCCCCCAACCCGTTTCAAAATGTCATTGAATCGGTTCTTTAAAAATATTAACATTGTGGAGTACAAAATAAAATGACATGTCACATCAGTTGACCTCTATAAATAAAGAGGGTGATTCAATGAAACTGGTTGATTGGCTCAGTGGGTTTCCATTCCCCACCCAAGCGTTACCACAACACATCAGATATACAAAAGATGTTCTTTTAAAAATACATACCAACTGCCCAATTTAACAGATCAGGTGAAATCCCCCTAGAGATCGTTCTGTTACCTTGTTTTTAAAAAAAACTTTGTAAGCATTCCCAGGAAAGAACTTCAATGATTATGAAAAAGGAACGCGTGGTTCAAATGACTATAATTCCCGAAGAACAGCGTATATAAAAATCAGATGTTTTATCAAAATAGTTTGTTTCATCAATAAATACCTTTCATCAGGATCCTAATGAATCTATATTTGAAATGAATATATTTTAAAGCATTTTATACATTTTAATACATCAAGGCTTATGTTTTAAGGCTCATTCACTTAGACTACTGCTTCTTTACATCATTTTATACATAGTGAAGAATAATAATAATCCTTGCATTTGATTGGCGCCTTTCACATCGGGAGGATGTCTCAAAGCCATTCACAGGATTTACTGTAAATTGCAGAGACTATATCAGTAGGAAAATGTGATAGCCAATTTGTGTACAGCAATGTCCCACAAACAGCCAATACAATTAATTTAGGAACCGACCCATAGTGTTGCACCTATTTGCACATTGGGGGTAAAAGATCAAGGCAACAGGGCAAGTCACTGCTGTATCACACTGTGCACTAACATACCTCACTCACCTCTGCTATTTCATATGCAATGTTATCATTTTTGAAGCTCATCCTTCCTGGAGTCCGGACCACGATAACAAAAAAAATTCTTAATCTAGCAACTACACATTTGCAAGCTTGAAGGATATTAAAACTGATTTTTTTTTAAAAAAGACAAATTAAAAAAGTTAGCCTCATAATTTACAGGCTTACAATATTTACCATCATAATAATCCTTGCATTTGATATAGCTGTTTTCACGTCTTCTCGACGTCTCAAAGAGCTTCACAGAATATACTGTAAAGTGAATTGACTGTATTTGTGGGCGAAACGCAGCAGCCAATTGCGCTCAGCAGTGTCCCACAAACAGTCAGGGCTTGAAGTGAACAATTTATTATTGTTTTTTTTTCTTGAGGGATTATTATCAAACGTGTGGATAAGGAAACCACAGGATTCCAAGCTCCAGGTCATGTGGCGTCTGTACATGCGATATTGCACGCACAGAACGCCACATGACCTGCAGCTTGGAGCTTGCATGATATTGCACAGAAAGAAACATACCGAATCAAGAGAGCAGATTTTTATCCCCAAGTTGCTACTACCCCAAAAGCTTCAGGTTTCATTGGAGATGTTAATATTTTGATGGAGAATATACAGCATAAAATTCCAAAGAGGGTAGCAACTAAATGAGATTTCCAAGCACAAAAATTGTGTCTTCAATCAAACCCTCGAAACCCGTAACTCCGAAGGTGCGGTTTAGCAAGTCTTTGCGTAACTTTGGTTTCAAAGTGAATAAGATTGAATGAGCAGCTTTTTTTGATATAATTGCATGCATTTCAATAAGAATCTGACTGGGGTTGGGCTCTAGTTTGGTTTCTCCTGGACATTGATTGAGGTACACACGTGGGCACAATTTAGTCATGAATTTCCCTTCCCCCGGGCCCCAAATTCAACCGGTCCATCAGATAATATTTTCTTTGTTTTCCTCTCCAACCAGGAGGGACCATTTGTCAAACTCCTCGTTGAGGGATGGGCTCTGGCTGGGCTGTTTGTCTGAGCTCAGCGAGCTCAGGGATACTTGGCTGATGTGCTTGATCCGGTCCCACGTACTGAACTTTGGAGATTCGCGCCGTTTGTCGTCCATCCCGATGCGGATGCTGATCTGCGATGGCGTGAACTGCTTCATGCGTCCCTGTGCCCGGAGTTCGAGCTTTTCAATGTCTGGCTTCTTGTAGCTGAAATAGGGGAAAGATAAAAGAATCATAGAGGGGGCCATCTTGCCCACTCATTGAAAGAGCTATCCAATTAGTCCAACTCCCCCGCTCTTTCCCAGGAGCCTTGCAAAAAAAAATTCTTTTCAAGTATGTATCCAATTGCCTCTGGAAAGTTATCATTGAATTTGCTTCCACCACCATTTCAGATTCCAGATCGTAACAACTCACTGCGTTAAAACAAATTTTCCTCATTTCTCCTCTGGTTCTTTTGCAATCGTCTTAAATCTCTGTCTCCAATTAAATTACCGACCCACCCGCCAGTGGAAACAGTTTCTCCCCCTCTACTCTATCAAAACCCTTCATAATTTTGAACACCTCTATTAAATCTCCTCTTAATCTTCTCTGCTCTAAGGAGAACATTCTCAGCTTCTCTAGTCTCTTCACATAACTGAAGATTCTCATCCCTTGTATCATTCTGGTACGGATCAAAAAAAAATACCATGTTCAAAGTGTACAAAGACAGCATTTGAAACAGCAGACTTGGCCTGCCCATGTTGAATGAACGAACGCGGGGGGGGGGAAGAAACAAATATGATGTAAAGTATCATTTAAAAACGATTTTTTTGTGGGCGTGGTGGGGGGCGTGTGGCAAACATAATCCATGTCTTGAAAATGTTAACGTGTTTGGAAGCAAACTGTTAAGTCACACTTATGTTGTGATTGTGGAACTGGATGCCATACATATGGACAGTCTCAAGTAAGGTCAGAGACATGAAGAAACATTTTGCCCCACAAACTGTCAAAGCACAGAATAGATTTGCAGCAAATCAGTTGGTGTCGATTTAAGCTTCTTCAAAAACAAAATTGGATAGGTATCTTGTTTGCATATGGATGGAGCTTTTAGTGCTAGGTTTGGGCTGAGGTAAGCAAGTACTCCAAACTTGCTATGGTTTGTGCTGCTTTTGGCAGTGGTGATTGTGGTCGTGCAATTGGAGATTTGAAGAAAGGGGCTCTGTCGTCACAATTCAGGATCACTAAATGTTCTACAGCTTTTTAATTGCTCAGGAGCTCGAGTGGGTGGTAGAGAATTGACGATATGTTGCACTGTGCACAGTCTGTGGAAAGATCATAGGTGAACGAGTCTTTTTTCAGTCTATGCTCTTTCGCTTCCTAAACTTCCCTGATTGAAGAAACAAAGCAACACCAATGGGGAAGAAGATGTCCAGTTACTTACAGTCTCAGCAAGAGCGATGAGACCACAACAGAAACGGAGGAGGCTGCCATCGCAGCAGAACCCATCCACGGCTGCAAAACTAGCCCAATAGGCAAAAATATTCCTATAAACACAAAAGTGCATAGCTCAGCCACAAATCTCTACAATATTCTAGTACCAATCGCTTGAATTATGTTGCAGGCATCAGAAAATCTCTTTTAAAGTTAGCATCTCCGAAGAACTGTTCAAATAAATCTTTTTGCCCCCCTTCCCAAGCACAGACCTGTCAGTGGGTTATAAATGGACCATAAAATTACTGTGTTTGATCTCCTTTCCTGTATGCAAAGGAAGATCTGACGGCTGATCAGAGTTAAACCAGCCTTTTTACATTAAGAGTTGCCTACAGAGACAGAGTAGCCTGTAGAGTCAGCCTGGCTCAGTGGTTCCCGAGTGAGAAGGTTTTGGGTTCAAGCCCCACGTTGGGACTTGGAATCACATCATCTAAGCTGACACTCCAATTCGGTGCCGGGGGTGCATTGCATTGTGAGAGATGCCATCTTTCAAATGAGATGTTAAACCGAAGTCCCATCTGCCTGCTTAAGTGGACGTTAAAGATCCTTTGACACTATTCAAAAAGAGAAGGGAGGTTCTCCCGGTGTCCTGGTCAACCAAACCAGGGAAGAGATGTTTGCTTATTTATTTTCTTATTTGGTCCCCTCTCAATAAAGGTGGCTTTACCTCCCCCCTTTGTTCCGGTTCCGATTACACTTTCAATGTTAAACAACTTTCTCTATCAGACTTTTTGTGAATTTTCTTTTTAGTTCGGATGCAATTGAAAGGCCTGCTTTGTTTGTAAATGAAAGCGATTTGCATCCTACACAATTCACACGGTTGAAATATACAGCAGTTAAAAGTGATAATAATGCTATATTCTGGCATGTAATAGAGTATGACATCATCTGGTTTGTTAGATTGCACGACTAAAATTACTTTCTGAAGTTGCTTTTGACCACACCGTGAGCACAATACAGTGCAAACTCACCTTAGGATCATCCCACTAATGTGGTCAACAAATTAATGTAGACATTTTCCCCCAAAATGTGTTAGTTGCACCTTATAGTACATCTCAGTGGCCACTTCACAGCCTGGTCATGCATATTTACAATGTGACAGAGACATTTATTCCCCTGTTGAAATCGCCTTCTCAAACCAGATTTGCTCCCAAACGTTAAACATTCAAGTAAATTTATTAGGAATGGCTTCTTGTGGGAGGAGGGAAGATCAAGATTAGTCAACCCTAATGTACCTCAATGAATACTCTGCTTGTTGCTAACCTGTACCTAATACTTTGAGATGTCGAGGACATGAAAAGCACTCTATCAAATGCAAGGATTATTATTATAATCATATTATAATCCACACGCCTAATAATAATCCCTCCAAAACAAAACAATAATAAATTGGTCATTTTCATTCTACGAGTGTTTGTGGGACATTGCTGTGCGCAATTGGCTGCCGCATTCGCCCACAAATATACAGTCAATTCATTTTACAGTGTGTTCTGTGAAGCGCTTTGGGACGTCCTCCCGACGTGAAAAGCGCTATATCAAATGCAAGGATTATTATTATTATTATTATTACAACTACACTTCCTTATTTGTTTTGGTGACTATTTTATATTGATGGCCCCTGGTTTTGGTCTCCCCCACAAGTGGAAACATCTTCTCTATGTCTACCCTATCAAAACCTTCCCTAATTTTAAAGACCTCTATCAGGTCACCCCTCACCCTTCGCTTTTCAAAAGAGTCCAAGCTTGTCCAGCCTTTCCTAATAGGTATAACCTTGCAGTTCCAGTATCATCCTTGTAAATTTCCTTTGCACCTTCTCCAGTGCCTCTATATCTTTTCTATATGGGGACCAGAACAGTACACAGTACTCCAAGTGTGGCCTTAACCAAAGTTCGATATGCTATGATATGAGCAAGAGTTTAAGGAATTTGATATTTAATGATCATACACTAGAGACTGGTCTTTTGGTTAATAAAAATTCTAAGCAGCAATTAAGCAGATCTTCAAACATTAAAAAAAAGGCCAATGAATGAGAGAAAATTTATAAAGCTCATACTCACCAGCAGCGATGGGAATTCCAACAAGGTTATAAATTAATGCAAAGACAAAATTAATCCGAATTCGCCAAACGGTCTTCTTTGACAAATCAATGCTAGCCACAACATCCAGTAGGTCGTTCTGCAATATCAAACAGAGGAGCCATCTCAGTGTGGAATGTAAAAATGCAGAAACAGATTCAGTTGTACTTATTACTAAGAATTTTAATGAACTATTCTTGCCCTTGCTCCCCTTATAATAGAATTTAATATTGCAATGGAAGTGTTCATTAACATTGGCTCACTCTAATAAGTACAACATCTGCTGCTTCGATGGCCACATCTGTGCCTGTTCCAATAGCAATCCCCACGTCAGCTTTTGCCAGGGCTGGAGAGTCATTCACACCATCTCCAACCATCGCTACTGTTTTTCCCATGTCCTGGAGCTCCTGAACTTTAGCTACTTTATGCGAAGGAAGAACTTCGGCAAAAACCTTCTTGATGCCAACCTTCGGGGGGAAAAAAGGAGAGAAGTACAATCAAAAAACAATGAAAGAGAAGAGCTTAATTGAACAATATTAAAATCTGAAGGGTTGTCTTTTTATAAAGATTAAAACCTGTACTTATTGCTACAGGTGTCAGCCTGGCGGCTCAGTTGGTAGCATTCTCAGAAGCTTGTGGGTTCAAGCCCCTTGCTAGGATTCAAACTAATAATCTAAGCTGACATGTCAATGCAGTCCTGAGCGATGCACTGCATTACCATCCGTCAAATGAGTCTTTAAACTGAGGTCCTTCTATCTGATCAGGGGGACGTTAAAGACCCATTGGCACTAATGGGGCTTCCCGCCCCATGTCCTGACCAACAATCCCCCAAATTGTCATTCGCTCCATTGAAATACTGACTGCCCAGCGCCTTGGGGACATCCTCCCAACGTGAAAGGCGCTATACAGATGTAATCTTGTTGTTTTTGATACATTACCATGTACAAATTGGCAGGTAGATTTGCCTCCAAAAGTCTCCACACTTTACAGCATGTACTGTGAAAGTTTTTAAGATGTTCTCCCGACATAAGGTGCTATGCGTGGATTATTATTACTATTTTATCATGATTGGTGCCCAAGCCTTCAAGCCACATGCCCTTAACCTATGAAAATTACTTCCAAAACGACCTCACCTGACTACATCTCTCCCTGCCTTCAAAAACCTAAATCTCCAAAATCAACATCTCTCTTCAATTGTGTCATTGGTTAATATCTTTAAATATCTTATTTCCTTATCGCATGTCCTCCGCAAATATCTGTCAAATACTTTATGACATTCTTTTAAGTGGAAGTCTATATAATGCAGATTGCCATTAGAAGATTACTGCTTCATAATCAAGCACAGTGCCTGAATTAGGCTGTTCACAGAGCCATACAAACACACTGGTCTAGAATCAGGAGAATGAAATTCTAGATTGAGGTCAGCAAGATGTGGCATCAGTTGCAACGTTATCAACATTATGATGTTACTCAACAGCATACTGCATAAATTATATCATGTATTTAAAGGACCTGGACCAAATTATTGGTACAAATTTCAAACATAACTTTACAGCACATAAGTAACATCGATTCTCTAAAACCTATCATATATTGCAATTTGATTCATTTACAAAATCCTGCTGGGTAGAATTAGAGAATCACAGCAAGGAGAAGTGAGCAGAGTTTCTGAGACCTGTAGTTCCCTAAAGGGATTACAGCCAAAGCACAATAACTCCCATTGTAAAGTGAGGATTTTCAGAAATATTAAAGAAAACGACAACAATTTATGTAGCGCCCTTCACATCAGGAAGACGTCTTTTCACTCCATCCGATCTCATCTCTACAAAACTCCCATCCTCCCATCATGGCATCAAGCTCCTTTTTCAATAAGTCCAGGGTCCTGGCTTCAACCTCCCTACCAGTCAAAAGATGACCAAACGTGCAGTCGGCAAAACAACAAAATTACGTTTGTATAGAGGCCTTATAGCTTAAAAGGGGGCGGAAGAAGGTGGAAAAACAGAGGGACTCCAGAATGGAGAGCGTGGGCAGAATGACTGATAGGTCATCCACTGATGGTAGGGCAGCGTGGGTCAGGCAGGAGACATGAAGCATGATAATGCTCGCTGAACAGGTGAAGAGGGTAGGTTGGTACAGCTGCAGGAGATTGGGTGGGGCGAGGCCGTGGAGTTATTTGAATTGGAAGTGGAAGACATCATCACTCACTACCGTAATTAGAATGGTGTCCAGCTCCTTGGACTTCATCCTGGAGTCCCTCCAACTTGCTCCCTCCTTCACCTCGTTCAAGATCCATTTCAAGAACTACCTCTTAGACCACACTTTTGGTCATCTTCCCCCTCTCCAGCCCTCCCAGTTTTAATTAAAAGAAAAAAAAAATCTCAAACCTACCTGGGAAGCGATGGCCTGGGCAGTTTTGTGGTTATCTCCCGTTATCAGCACCACATCCACTCCCATACTGTTCAAGGTGTACACAGCCAGTGCAGCTTCTGGTTTCACAGTGTCTGCGATTGCTATCATTCCACACAAGGTGCCTTTACAGAAAAAACACATCAGTTGGTAAACTACTGGAAAACACAGCAGAAAGTTTAATGCTGTTAAATGAGCTTAAATGCTATTCAGGTCAATTTCATTGTAACTCGCACAACGTCAATTCCAGCTTGACATTATGGTTTCAGTGGATCATTTCTTATACACTTCTGATAATTTTATTTATTTTACGCAAATAATAATGATAATCCTTACGTTTAGTATAGCAGCTTTCATGTCAGGAGGATGTCCCAAAGTGCTTCCACTTTATACTATACGTGTTTTGTGGGCAAATGCTGCAGTCAATTTGCACACAACAATGTCCCACAAACAGTCATAGAATGACTGACCAATTTTATTTGGGAGATAGTTGGCCAGGACACCGGGAGAAACTCCCCATTCTTTTTCAATACTGCCATTGGGTACTTTAACATCCACCTGAACAGGCAGACAAGGCCTCAATTTGACTTCTGACCCGAAGGACGGCACCTCCAACAATACAGCACACGCTCAGTACTGCACTGGAGTGTCAGCTTAGACTGGACAAGTGCCAAGTCCTCACATTGGGTTTGAACTCACAACCTTCTGACTCAGGCAAGAAGAGGGCTACCAACCGAGCCAGGCTGACACGAGTCAACATCATAATAGTTTATATAAATCAACAATGTCCCATTGTCAGCTATTAGCAATCAATAAAACAGTCATGAATACACACTCTTCCAAAAATAGCTTTACAAAATTATTTTTTTTAATAAAACAATTACTTTTTTTCCCCTTGGCTACTGAGGCCAATATAATGCTCCTTTTTTTGGGGGAGGAGGGAGTCAGTCAGGTATCTGACAGCCAGAAATCAGATCTGGGATTTTCCTGGTTAGTGTGATTCAGCTCCACACCAGGCAATACCTTTATCAACTGCGCCTAAAAATAAAGGTAAATGGAATCCTCCAGTTTCCTGTCGCGATAGTAAAAAAATAAACTAAGATGGAAGAAACATTCGCCGAATAACTTCAAATTCACTCAAAATATTCAACCAAATAATTGAATTCAGTCCCAGTCAGAAAATCACTTAGCAAAACAATCAGAATGTTTACAGGAGGTCGCTGGTTACGTGATAGGAATCGGTTGATAATAGCTTCGCTTTGTGTTCAATGAATTGTAGCCCGTGGCACAAACAGACTTTACTGTTAACGCAACCTGTGATCGATCTGTTTAGTTCAACAGGTTTCATCACATCCATATTATGCCTTAGCTTTATAGGATAAAATGGAACAACAAATAAATACTTGCTAGATTAGATAGGCTATGGAATGTGGCATGAAGCAAGCCTGGGGAGTCAATACTCTTTGCCTTGGATTTTGATCACTCTTAGAAAACACAGCTCCAGGTATAATCTCTAACTACAACAGAAAGCTACATATCCAGACTAGATTGCAAAGGCTGTGTATTAACCTGCAATGCTGGGATTCTTTTTTCAGTTGCCCACATGCACATGAAGTCCTTCAGACGAGACATTAAACTGAGGTTACATCTGTCTGTTCAGGTGGATGTTAAACCCCATGGCACTATTCGAAAAGAGAAGGAAGTTTCTCCCAGTGTCCTGGCCAACAATCCTCCTAAATAAAATTGATCAGTCACTCCATCGTGCGTGGGACATTTCTGTGCGCATCCCCCAGATAAAAAAAATGAACATTCATTTGACGGCTGTTTGTTGGACATTGCAGTTCACAAATCAACTGCCATATTTGCTAACAAATTTACACTTCACGGTAACTCTTGTGAAGCGTTTTGAGACATCTTGTAAAGTGCGATATGAAGTGCAAGAATTATTATTGTATTATTAATAGGGCTCATCCTAAGTAATGTGATAACGGACTGTCTGTTATGATACAAATTTACATTGATGTAGCATCTTTACTTCAGAAAGTTGTTTTAAGGTGCTTAACAATAAGCGTTTGGTAGCCTGTTGCACCATATTTAATGGAAGACTTTTAGTTTAGTGAACTTTACCATCAATGGCGACCAGCACCGCTGTCTGTCCTTTCATTTCATGATTAGTCATGGCCTCATCGACATCACTTCCAACATGTAAACCGTTGCGTTTCATCCACTCACGGTTTCCAATTAATGCAGAATAAACCTGTGGAGCCACTGCACCTAAAAATGGTCAAAGGTTCACTGTATTAGTATTATTGGAGGGTCAACAAATTGAAAGGGGAACGACAACAAGGCAATGTTTACAGCCATTAAAACATCCGACTGCAGAAAGTGCTCAGGATTGAAGGAGAATATTTGTAATACACCTGTGCATTTGTAGAGGATGAATACTTTCAACGAGATATTGCTGTGTTGAGTGAGAATTCAGAAAAGAGAAATAGGGATGAGAAGACAGTGAGCTGGTCAGCTACAAATGAGTAATGAAGGGGGTCCACACAATGTAAGTGCAAGTATTATTATTCCAAAAGAAAATACTCTTAATTGAAGTTCTGGGAGATACTGCAGTTTTCAGATAAATTTCATTTGATATTCCACTTCCTGTCCAATCATGGACTGCTTCGTTGGGTATCCAGAAACTAACCTAGCAACAGTAGAAACTAACCTAGCAACATGGGGCAGCTAATTATTTCAATGAAATAGGTTATATAAGCGTGCTTTATTTCACTTCGTAAAATCTTGCTTTCTTTTCAATTTTAATACAGCTGGCAGTAGAACACACGTTTACTGCATGTACTTTGAGAAGAGAAGGGAGTTTCTCCCAGTGTCCTAGCCAACAATCACCCAAAAAATAAAAATGGTCATTCACTTCATGGCTGTTTGTGTGACCTTACTGTGCACAAATTGGCTGTTGCTTTTGCCCAAAACCACAGGCACTGCACTTTACAGTGCATCACTTCAGTATATGCATTTTCCAATCCCACTAAATCTTGTGAAGCCTTTGGAACGTCCTTGCGATGCAAAAGGTGCTATACCAAATGTAAGTCTCATTATTAATAATATTAATAATCTGAACCTCTGTTCACACAGAGCTCGAGACCTTGTCTAGAAGTTGCCTTTGTTGAAAGCTTTCAAAAAAAAACTTGGACCTTATTGTACTCAATCGTATTTCATTGCTATGTTACTATTAGATGTTACAATTAGAATGATTTGTCGGGGCAAGGATTCAGCATAGATTCTGATCAAATAGATGGCAATGGAAATAAGAAAAGTTAATGCAAATGATGCTTACCTTCTAGTTCTGCTTCAATGATCGGCGAGGTCACTGGACTCTTGCTGAGCAAGGCACTAATCTGCAACAAATCTGTAACCTGTCTGTTTCTTTCATTGAGGTTTTCTGCGCTTTGCTCCAGCATTCTTTCAACGTTGGTAACCTTGCAACTGATGCCACAACCTGGCACTGCTTGAAAATCAGTGCAGTAGCCAAGGCCGTCTGTGCCAAGTTCCTAAAATAAGCAGAAAATATTCACCTCATTCACCTGCTCACACTGCTCCATAACCTTGCCAGAGCTGTTATGTAAAGTGCAACAAAATAGGATTGTATAATAATAATCCTTGCATTTGACAAAGCGCTTTTCATGTCTTCTAGACATCTCAAAGTGCTTCGCAGAATACACTGAAGTGAATTGACTGTATATTTGTGGGCGAATTGCAGCAGCCAATTGCGCACAGCTGTGGAAAGTGCTTTAATACGTCTCCTCAAGAGGAAAGGGATTGTATTAATGTAAATTGTATCGTGGTGAAATGCTTATGTCACTTCACTTTAATATGAAATGCAACTAGATTGAAAATGATCTTTGTTTGAAACAAAGTTTGGAACATCTGACTTACTTCCTTACAATATTTGGTCACAGCGTTCCCGAGGGGATGCTCACTCCTGGCTTCTGCAGTCCCAACAATTGCAAGTAGTTTCCTGAGCGGCAGAAGAGCTGTGTCCACCAGTATGAGAACCCTCATTACCTTAGGAACCCCGTGTGTGATGGTGCCAGTCTTATCAAACATCACCACTTTGATCTGGAAAAAGAGACAAAAAATGCAGGTTTATTAGTATGAAGGAATCAAAGCTACAAGATGGATTTTTATCAAAGCTTAATAATAATTCTTGTAATTTCATGTAGCACTTTTCACGTTGGATCTATTATAAAGTGTAATGACTGTTTATTTTGCCCACAAACACATCAGCCAACTTGTGCACAGCAATGGCCCAACACACAGCTGTGAAGTGATAACCAATTCTATTTGGAGGATTTTTGCCCAGGACACTGAATGCAACTCTCCCTTCTTTTATGGCATGGGATCTTGAACATTCACCTCAACAAGCAGACAGGACCTCAGAACGTCTCATCTCGAGCAATGCATCGCTCCCCCAGCACTGCCTTGGAATGTCAGCTATTACGAGTGGAAAAATCCAATGTGAGGCTTGAACCCACAACCTGCTGACTCAGAGGCAAGAGTGCCACCAACTGAGCCGGGTGGATACCCTGTCATGTATTATGAAAGTAAATGCAGTTGTAGTGCCTGAGAACATAATGGGTCAACAGACAATCTAAACCAAGTGATCAACAATATTATGATCGCCCAAAGCGATGTTTCACTCATAAAATACAGTCAATTCACTTTACAGTATATTCTGTGAAGCGCTTTGAGACGTCTCGAAGAGGCGCTATATCAAATGCAAGGATTATTATTGTTAAAGCAGCCATGTATTAAATACATTTCCCTTCTGAATCTCTCTGTGTGACCACGCCACCAACTTACCTTGTGTGCCATTTCCAGTGGTTCCCCACCTTTGATGAGAATGCCGTTTTGCGCACCTACTCCTGTACCCACCATCACAGCCGTAGGTGTTGCTAAACCCAGAGAACAGGGACAGGCAATAGACAACACTGTGATTGAGGTCTGAAATGCGAATCTGACAATCAGCTCTGCTTGAGAAATATTTTTGCCAAAGTTCTAGGTACAAAAAAGACAAGCATTGGATTGTAAGTCAATATTGATAAAAACTGCTACAGCATTTCTGATAACACAGTGCATTATAACGTTCTCTATATGCCCCAAATATTTCTGGAAGGATGCATTTAATCTGCTCCAACTATTAGATTATACTGGCCACTGTATATCATCATATTATTATTTATTTATTATTGCATATTATATTGTAAGCCAACCCTGGGGGAAAAATGCGATTTCTGAACATCATTTGATAAGATAACCCAGCATATTGTAAAGTTTTTCATATGCAACGAGTATTACAGGAAGGACATATTTTAATCAGCTTCAGCACTGCAATTCTTTTCAAATGATACCAAATAAATGCAATCCTTTAAATGACAAACAAAGCTATTAAATTAGCTGCTGTGCAATGGGGCTGCAAGTTGTACAAGGACAAGAAGTTTAGGGTGTTTCATTGGACTGCAAGATTGTGAGGGAGTGTGGAGTTAAAGAATTTTTTCTAAAAAAAACACAAGCGGGAAATATTTGGAAAATAAGTTATGAAGTTATCTTGCTCAAAAAGGGGGAAAAATAAACTTTAAAAAAAAGAGTGGTTTCCTGGTTCATCCAGACTCTGCTGCCCGCAACCTCATCAAACTCTGTGCGCTCCATTACCCACTACGCGCCACGGTCCACTGACTCCCTCCCTACCTATGGGTTGACTTTAAGGTCCTCAGTCCTCAGGTGGGGATAAAAAGCAATAGTTTCATTATATCAAAATAAACCTATCCTTTTGTTATTAAAACCCTCGCTGCAAGTTTGTTTTCCAGGTGTGACCCACATACTCCTACACGCCATCACAACCCACATCTTCTGATTAGTACAATTGTATATCAACAACAACAAATTACATTTGAATCGCGCCTTTCGTGTCAAGAGGACGTCTCAAGGCACTGGACAGTCAGGGATATGTATCTCAGTAAAAGATCATTATTAAGGCACGCAAAGCCCAGGCCGAAGCTGTATAAGAATTAACTTTGTCCTCACAAAAGGACAATACCGCAAACTCAAATGTCTCCCAGAATGAATCACACTCCACACATTCAGGCATTTTACTGAGACTTACTGATAAGTACTGCTTCATGATGTCGAAATTCAAGAAACCGATGACTATCCAGACGATCAACGTAATGACTGAAATAACAACAATAAACGGAACAAAATATCCACTTAGCTTGTCAGCAAACTGCTGAATCGGTGCCTGAAAAAATAGAAAATATTTCACTTTGATTCATGATGTGAAAGACAAAAATCACATGAATTGTAAATCTGTGTGAACAGCAAACTTTTTCTTGTTTTTGACTCATCATTCTGCATCTGTACGATTTATAGAAATAACTTGCATTTTTGTAGCACTTTTGACACATCAAGTCTCATAGCCCTTCACAAATAATTACCGTCAGTTTAACGATGTTTAGCAGGGCATGAAATATCTTTTTGAGATCCCTGTGACAGCATTGAGTAATTCCAAGATTAGCACAGCTCTGAAAGAATAACTGTCCTCTAAACTGTCACCACAAAAAATTTGTGTGTCAACTTGGCTCAGTTGGTAGCACTCAGTTAGGGCGGTGTTAGGGGAGCGCTAAACTGCTGGGAGGTGCCACCCTTCAGATGTGATGGTATATTAAAATCATATCTGTTTCTTCAGGTGGATGTTAAAGATCCTTTGGCACTAATCGAAGAGAGTTTCTGACTGTATCCTGGCCTATAATCCTCCAGTAAAATAGGTTGTCTGTGAGACCCTGCTGTATGCAAATTGGCTGTTTTTGTTTACTTACAAATAGTCAAAAATTATTGAATTCAGTCTTATGGAGGTGGGTTTGCAAAAAAACGGCTTTAGAATTGTGACTGCATTACGAATGATAAATTCTGCATGCTCCAAAATGCTATTTATGTCCTTCGGATGAGATGCTAAACCAAGTCTCACATAACAAGTCTTACATGGCCATGATCAGCAACAAGGATGATCCCCAGTATAAGACGAATGAGTTATGAACAACGATTAGACAAGCTAGGGCTCTTCAGCCTTAAAATGAGATGTCTTAGTGGGAAACCTTCTAAAGTTGTATGAAATATTAAATGATTGAAAAAGTGAACCCAGAACAATACTTTCGGATGCACAAAGACAACAGAAGAGGATTAGACTTGCAAAGGGCAATTTGAGGACAGATACTAGAAAGGTTTTCTTTACTAGAGAGTAATTAATGACTGGAACAGGCTACCAGGAATGGTGGTTGAAGCCATGTCTCTGAACTCGTTTAAAAAACACACCCTGATGCTATGATTGGAAGATGGTAAAGTGGGTGGTATTCCAGAGGGAAGAGGCTAAAGGGCCTACTTCATCCAAACCCACTTTGAGACCTTGTAAAATATTGCTCGACTGGGTTCAGGGACCGGTTGGCAGAACTACCTTTGATGTCTGTGCCTCTTCTACTAATTTAACAATCTGTGACAAGGTAGTGTCTGCACCAACATGAGTAGCCTGAATGAGCAGCGAGCCGTGAGCATTAATAGATCCAGCAATCACTGTGCTTCCCGGCCTTTTGGTAACAGGCATGGGCTCCCCTGCAAAAATAAACATTAAAAAAATAAAAGTTAATATTTTACATGGTTGCAGTCAGCCTGCAAACAAACATAATCACAAGCTGAGGTTCAGATAACAGTGGCTTTACATTACAGGCCATTTAATCTTATCCTTGCAGAATAGTAATCCACATTGTCATCTCATGAATCTATGCCCTCCTGCTCAGGTGCCTTAGTTTAGTCTATCAATTCTGGATTGATTTTTTCTATCCCAACTATCAACACCAACAACTTGTGCTCCCTTCATGCGGGGTAGCGCCTGGACCGCTTGACAGTGGTGAAGTCTGACCCTGAGCCAGGGGGAGGTGACTGTAAACATAACCCAAAAGGAAGGTCTTAAGGCGGGATTTGAAAGTGAGGAGGGAGGGGGCAAGGCGGAGGGATTAAGGGAGAGAGTTACAGAGTTTCGGGGAGTAGGGACTGAAGGCACGGCCACCGATGGTGGAACGGAGGGAACGAGGGACGAACAGGAGGTCTGAGACAGCCGAGCGGAGGCAGGGACCATACTATATATAACAGAGGTTAGGAACCCTCAGTTATATCTCCTTTCACGTTTGACACCCGCCCCCCTCCCATCCAGCTATTCCTCATAGCTCCTCTCTCCAACTGTGGACAAGCGCAAGGAGAAGGAAAATACTACCAAACTATCAAAAGTAATGAGAATATAATTCAACATTTCTCATTACTGAGGGAAGGTTCCAAGGCAATCTCCACTAAATTCTCAAGTAACTTGAAATGGGTTACAAAACGTAGACAGGAGGCTCGGTAGTCAGCTGATCAATTCTGCAATGATCAACAATTCTTGACGGAGGAATTTCGCCTCAATGACCCAAACTCAGTAGGTTCTGGATGCAGTTGAATCCTGTTTGACAGACAACCGATTTACCAGCACCGTTGCACTTGCTCCATTACACACTCATTATGTACACATTCCCTCATATTCATTTATGTACACATTATGGAATTATGTACACATTCCCTCATATTCACTAGAGTACAAACATTAACAAGAAAAACATACAAACAATGCACTGTTTCCATATCATTCGCAACATTTTTGGAAACAGAAATGGTTTTTGATCCAATATTTTTAAGAATGCTACTTGCTCTCATTCTGGACTCTCTTGATTTCTCCTCCCCTTTGCTTTCTATTTGCTCTCTCACTCCCTCTTCATTTTGTTTGGACTCCTCACTACCCTGAATCTTGGGGACAATGAGACAGGATAATGCGTACTGTACTAATAAAACTACAAAGATTCTTCTGCAAAAATAAGTGCATTTCAGTTAGAAAATGTTGCTGGTTAAAATTTGCTAATTTCCTCACACTCTATAAATTCCACAATCATGCATTTGTGGGAAATTCTTCCAGGCTCCTTGCTTAGTCTCCTGTAGCTTTGCTTTGCCTGACTTCACTGTAGAATATCCCCCTTGGTGAATGAATACTGGGATTCTGTGAATTACAAATAAAAAAACCTATAGTAATCTTCACATTTTTATCCCGCAGGTTTTATAAATAATAAATAAATAAACCATTTAACAATTAATCCCAAAACATGATAACGTTTACACAAAAATTCTTGCAAGTCCTAAACTTTAGTCTTATTTGTGGAAGAAACATGATAGTGGATCGAGATTGAAAACTAGGGCAACAGGGAAATGTATTATCATTAATAATAAATAATTATTATTGAAAATCCCACATTTGATTATATCGCACGTCACCGTGGATCACAATATTTAGTTAGCTCAATGAAAACGCCCATCATGAACAACCTTCAAGACATTCCATGTGTTGCTAATCTGGGCATTCCAGATTGCAGCATTGCTAAACGAATGTCATTTTCTTGGAGAAAAACAACATTCTAACTGGAATAGCCATGAGGAGCCACTGTTCCATCACCACCACGCAAAGATAGAGAAAAGAAAAATATGCTATGGGAATATTATGAGGAATCTTAAAAACTAAATTAGAATTCCATTGTGCTGTATGAGATTTTGCAAACGCTAAATCCCTAGATTTAATGGGTATTGTTTTCCAAATCTCGATGTCATTGTGTGATTCTCATCCTGGTAAAGTGACAAGCTATTTTTTAGCATGTAATGATTTGGCGATAAAAACAATCACAAGCAGTGGAATTCCCCAATGCTTGTCCTTTCTTTATATGTACTTCCAAGAAACAGGATCAAACACATACCTGTAATAAGGGATTCATCTGCCATGGAACATCCTTCAGTTACTTTTCCATCCACAGGGAATTTGCCCCCAGGGGCTACCTTTATAATGTCTCCCCTCTGTACAAGGTTGACATCTACCTGCTCTTCACTAAAAGAAACAAATTCGCAAGTAAGGTTTCTCCTTGCAATTTTTTTGCCAACTGATAAGATTGTAAAAATGCACATTGCTTCATTTTCCATTGTCAGCACAATGGTCCCTAAAATGTATTTGCAAAAAAACACACTAGCAAAGATACATTAATTGAAATATCTCTATCCCCGTGGGAAAGTTTATTGAAGCAACAAAGGCAAGGTCCCAGTAACCTCAGTTCATCCAATTTATTGACCCAGCCATCAGATGCGAATAATAATAAGCCTTGCATTTGACATAATGCCTTATTACGTCCTTGAGATGACTCAAAGGGCTTCACAGGATATATTGTGAAGTGGATTGACTAGGTATTTTATGGTTTAAACGAGGCAGCCAATTGGATACAGCAGTGGCCCACAATCAGTAGTTAGAGAAACAGAAAGATAATGAAAGCCAAACAACCGAGCATTACCACTATTTACTGTGATCTTCTTTGACTGCTTTCTGCTTAACACAAAGTAGTCTTAGCTATGGTCTTTCTTAAAAGAAGCCTCTTTCTTTCAAATGGAGACACATGGGAGGGGATGGGGTATCATCAACAACTTTACATTTATATAGCATCTTTCAGGTCGGCAGAATACTTCAAAGCGCTCCACAGAAACAGCTCATCGTATGTTGATTGCCAAAACTAGCTGCTAGTTTCAGAGATTATTGAAGCAGCAAAGACACAGTGCCAATATCCACAGTGTGCACAATTTATTAACTTAATCACCAGCAGAGAATGTACTGAATGGCATATAAATGAGAATTAACACTAATTTGCTGTGAGCTAGCTTCCCATTATAAACTAGTGAGCTTTCCCATTATAGACACATAATAAAAAGATTCCCAACGTTACCATAACTGCTGATGGCAGACCACCAGACTGACATCAGTAGGACATAGAGGGCAGACCTGATACTCATTTCCAGTTAACCAAGCAAACCAAAGCCCCAATGGGTCGGGTGGTTCCAGCTGGAGATGCAGCAGGAAGCTTGCCAGACAGTGCTCTCAATAACAAGCTATGCTGTTGTAGCTGATTAAAGTACCCCAAACTACAGTGTGTGGTATCCAAGCCTTGGCTCTCTGCAAAAAGCAGGGAATTGTTCAGTGAACGAACTAACATCATCAGCAACTCAGTGGCCTTCTCCCCCAACACTATAATTTCTACAATTTTATCTTCCGATTAGAAAAGTTTGGGGAATTCTCTGACATCAAGTACCTCACATTCTCCTGGTTTAACATGTGAGATGTGCATAAGAGAAACAAAATGAGGAGGTGGAGGGGGGATCTATATTCCCTATTTGGTACACTAAGTTTTCATTCAATAGTATCTGGACACCAAACAGTTGTGGGTACTGCTCTTCCTATATTGGAAATTAATGCTTTTTACTTTTCTGGCAGAGCAGGAGATTAAACTCCATGCATATCTAATGTATGGGCCAAAAGTCCTTCTTCATTCAGACCAATTTCAATAGTATCTTCAAAGCCCTCCACGGTCTTGCTCGGCCCTACCTCTCCGACCTCCTAACCCCCTACCATCTTGTCCGCTCCCTCCACTCAGCAGCTCCAGCCTGCTTCACATCCCCCGCCTTGCTCTCCCCACTATTGTCAGGTGGGCCTTCCGCCACTCTGCACCCACCTTCTGGAACTCCATCCCGCAGTCCCTCTGTCTCGCCCCCTCCCTCGCCACCTTCAAGACACACCACAAGACCCTCCTCTTCGGCCTTGCTTTTGATCTCCCTGCTTCCCTCCCTGCCCTCCCCAACCCTCAGTTCAAGTCCATAACTCTGTCAGTCCAGCGCATTTTAAGGCGACGTGAAAGGCGCTATACAAATGTAATTTTGTTGTTGTTGTTGCTTGGACTTTGCTCTTCAGAAAATTGGTCTGAATGAAGAAGGACTTTTGGCCCATATATTAGATATGTATGGAGTTTAATCTCCTGCTCTGCCAGAAAAGTACAACGCAATAATTTCCAATATGGGAAGAGCAGTATCCACAGCTGTTTGTTGTCCAGTCAAATGCAAGCTGAAATTCACGCAAATCAACCATCTTACAATGAAGCTGTGAAACATTTCATGGAGGAGAAACTGTTTCCACTGGCGGGTGGGTCGGTAACCCGTGGACACAGATTTCAGATAATTAGCAAAAGAACCAGAGGGGAGATGAGTTATGCAGTGAGTTGTTACGATCTGGAATGCACTGCCTGAAAGGATGATGGAAGCAGATTCAATAATAACTTTCAAAAGAGAATTTGATATTTACTCGGAAAGGAAAATTTGCAAGTCTATGGGATAAGAGCGGGGGAGTGGGACTAATTGGATAACCTGCACAGGCACAATGGGCTGAATGGTCTTCTTCCGTGCTTTAGGATTCTATGATACTATGAACAAGTATTGGCTGATTTGCCGGTAAGGGATGGAAAATAGTAATGGAACATGCAGAAGACAACATAAAACAGGGCAAGGTGGGTCAACCAAGGTGGGCTTTTGCCCACAAAAATAGTTTCTCCACTTTACAGCATATCCTGTGAAGTGCTTTGAGACTTCCTCCTGACGTGAAAGATCCTATATCAATATAATATAATAATAATAATCCTTGCATTTGATATAGCGCTTTTTACGTCTTCTAAATGTCTCAAAGGGCTTCACAGAATATACTGCAAAGTCAATTGACTGTATATTTGTGGGCAAAACACAGCAGCCAACTGCACGCAGCAGTGTCCCACAAACAGTCATATCATATCAAATGTAAGGACTGTTATTATTATTGCCTGCTATATTAAGTTCTCTTTCACCTGCATTAAAAACATTAAGCAGTACAAGAGATTTGTGCTAGGTCTTTTCACCTCTGGTACACGAGCTGCAACCCAGCCCAGACCTGCGGGTGAATTTCTCTGTCTGCCAAACAAAGAGATTTCTGTTAAGCAATTGTGGGAAGTCTGAGCACAATTTCTCGTGGATATGATTCAGCACAAATCAGCAGTCTCACCCACAGAGACCAAATGTGCAACTGCTGCTGGAAATGAGAAAAGTTCACACTGCTAAAACAGAGATTGCTGTTGCGAGATTAATGCTGTAGGACAATTATGTGATAGAGTACACAGAGTCCTTGGCAAAATATTCAGTCACTCACTTCTTTGTATAATCTTGCTAAAAGACATCGCCCATAACAATACACTGATAATATTTCCTTATCTTTTGTGTCGCTGGTTTCGACATATGGATGTGCCTGCCAATGAGCCATGTGTGTAATGTTCTGCAAGTCTATACACCTGTTATGCTTAATTATGCTGAACCAGGTGTCAAACTGGCTCAGTTGGCGGCACTCTCATCTCCGAGTCAGAGGGTTGTAGGTTCAGGCCATATGTTATGACTTTCAACTCAAAGGCTGACGCTCTGGTACATCATACATCGATTTGATATAGAATCATTGAATATTTCAGCACAGAAGGAGGTCATTTGGCCCATTGTGCCTGTGCTGGCTCTTTGAAAGAGCGATCCAGCTTTGGTTTAAAAATAGAATCGATGCAGTATAATTTGGGTTTGTATTGCAATTTCAATAGAACAACAACAGCAACAACAACTTGCATTTATATAGTGCCACTCACACAGGGTAGCATCTCAGAGTGCTTGACAGTAACGGAGCACTATTCACATGTATTGAGAATGTTTTAATTTATAAAACAGTTATGTTTAAAGGGTATGTGCACCCAATAATGTTAAGAGGGAAGGTTTTGTTCCCAGCTCTCTAACACTGAAATGCTAACCTGGCCTTCGGCACATGTGCAGTGCTCCACTGGGAGAATCAGCTTTCCAAAGTTCTGCACAATATTACATTTTAAGTCTAAAACCTAAGGATATGAGAAATTTTAGACTCCAGAAATAGAGGGAAAGGCCACCATAATGGAATGCCACCACTGTTCAGGGACAAGGGGCAGTTATAATAAATAATAATATTCCCCTACCTACCTGCCCGTACCCTCCGTTCCTCTGGCTCCCGTCTGCTCCACATCCCCCGCCCCAACCGCCCTAACATCGGTGGCCGGGCCTTCAGCCTCTCAGCCCCGAGGCTCTGGAACTCTATCCCCGGTGCCTTCGCCGCCTCCTCCCTTTCCTCCTTCAAGGCTGGTCTCAAGACCTTTCTCTTGGACTGTGCCTTCAGCTCCCCTCTCGACTCTCTACCCCCTCCTCGCTCCCTCCCTTCCCTCACCCTGACCATTTCCCCCCTGCTTGGGTCCTGACCCAACTGTCCAGCGCCTTGGGACGTCCTCCCGACGTGAAAAGCACTCTATAAATGTTGTTGCTGTTGTAATAATCCTTTTATTTGATATAGTGCCTTATCACATCTTCAAGAAGTTTCAAAGCGCTTCACAGAATATACTGTAAAGTAAATTGACTATTTTGTGGGAGAAATCATACTGGTTTGGGTACTCTTCAGCATGGGGATAGATTTCTGCACGTGTCAGGCTGACCCCTCAGAAAAAAAAGGAAAATCCTAGACCACAGATTTATAATTGCTTCTTTCTACACCAGCTTTAATACACGTTTTTAATCGCAAAATCCAATAAAGATCTGTTTAGTTAAGTTAAATTTATTGATATTATTAACCAAACCACTGCAGTAGAAAGTCTGTAGCTCAGTGGTTAGAGCACTCGCTTTGCAAGTGAGAGACCTGAGTTCAATTCCAGGCAGAGGGCGAAACCTTGGGCAAGTTTCCTTACTCCACACAGAGCATAATAATAATCCCTCCAAAAACCCAAAACAATAATAAATTGGTCATTTTCAATCTACGTCTGTTTGTGGGACATTGCTGTGCGCAATTGGCTGCCTTGTTTGCCCACAAATATAGTCAATTCACTGTACAGTGTGTTCTGTGAAGCGCTTTGGGACGTCCTCCCGACTTGAAAAGCGCTATATCAAATGCAAGGATTATTATTATTATTATTATAATAAAGTCCACTCAGAAATGCCTGAAGGATTCCTAGAGTCTGGGGTCACAGAAAGAGAAAAGAGCCGTCTTTCCGTGCTTCGGATGAGATGTTAAACTAAGGCCACTCTGCCTGTTCAGGTGGAGTGGAAGATCTCATGGCACTATTTGAAAACAGAACATTTTCAACGTTGTCCTGGCCAACAATCCCCCAAATAAAATTGTTCCCTCACTCTATGGCTGTTTGTAGAACATCGTGTGTGCAAATTGGCAGCTACGTTCACCCACAAAACGCAGTCATTGCACTTTAACAGTAAATCCTGGAATCACTTTGGGACATCCTGTCAACATGAAAGGCATTATACCAAAGGATTATTATTATCCTCTCAGCCAGCAAAGAGCATGTGCTGCAGAGGTTCTCAAAAGAGGAAGAAGGGGGAAAAATAATACTTGAGAATGGCAAAACACAATAACCTGTACATTGAAAAAACCTAAGATTTTAGAACTCCACCTCAGAGTCTCTCCCACTCTCTCCCTCCCTCTCCACTTTCAAAGTCTGCCTTGAGACTCGTTTCTTTAATTGCTGTATTGATCATTTTCCCTTCCTCCCCCAACTGTCTCGGGTGCCTAGCCAGTGCTGTGTGAAGCACATTGAAATGTCCTCCTGAAGTGAAAGGTCATATAAATGTAAACTTTATTACATCTTACTAGATGTAGTAAGCACACCAGCCTGGAAAAAACTAATTAAAAATATTGACTGGAGATCATTACGATGCGTTAGGTTAAATTTCTTGTTAGGTTACCCAAGAATGGAGTTGTCTGATCCCAGAGTTACCAGTGTAGCTTCTGTCGCCTGAAGGGACATGAGTTTAGCCAGTGCTTCTGAAGTCTTGCTCTGAAACAATGAAAGATTGCAAAAGTAATTAAGGACTTTCAGGATGCACAGTACACTATACTAGTAATAATCCTTACATTTGATATAGCGTCTTTCATGTTCGGAAGACATTTCAAAGACCTTCACAGAATATATTGTAAAGTGACTTTATATTGTTTGTGGGCAATACTGAACCATTACATAACCTAAGTTAATTGAATAATAACACCTAAGAGGCAATGCATTACCAACATTCAGTATACAGGCCATAACACTAAGGCTATAGTATTGATCTGAAATACAAACAATTTATGATTGATTTTATCTAGTCCAGGTCCCAATGCCCTTGTTGCAGCACTGAAATTTTTAAAGAAAAGTTAATTTTCATAAATGTTTGGTCTCTTCTTCAGAAACAAGGATACCCAAAAAAGGTTAGTAACATAGAACATGCAATAGAGGCGAATACTACCCTATTGAAGTGGGCTTCATCAAGGACTATAATCATCAGTCATTAGATTAGTAGCTGGGAAGAGGTTGAGCTACGAATGAGAGGCCTGGTAGAGTTACTTTGCATTCCTTTGAGCTGAGGAGGTTAAGGAGTAATCTGATTCAGGCGTTTCATGAAGGGAATTGATAAGATAGTTTGCAACTCTTCAGATAATAATAATAATCCTTGCATTTGATATAGCGCTTTTCATAGTAGTGATGGGAAAAAAAAGCAATATCATCTTAATTTTAGGGAGCTAAACTTGTAGGAAGGGAGAGCAGAAAACAGTTCACGCAAATGTGAATTACCATGCCGCAGAAGCCACGGTCTGGGAGTTAGATACAATGGAACCACATTTTAACATGGTTATTGGAATCCATAAAATCCCACGCTATAACAAGGTGAGATAGCCATGATTTAACAAGAAGTTGGAACAGGTTCAGCAGAACAACTTGTATTGATATAGCACCCTTCATGTAGGATAGTGTCTAAAGATAGATAAAGAGGGGGTGAGAGAGTGAAATAGAGGCAGGGATTTCCAGAGGTTAAAGGCATAGTGACTGAAGGCTTGGTTGTCAATGCTGGCAATAAGCTGAATGGGCTCCTCCTATGTTCGCATGAATGAAATTAGCAACAATCTGGTTCGGAAATATAGTGCTCTTCTGTTAGAATTATTGTACAAGCAAAGGAACATTTAACTATGATTGGTAAGAACGTAATTGGGTAAATCTAGCAGTCAAATTTCAGCCCGTTTCATGTCGGTAAAATTTATATAATAAAAAATAATAATCCTTGCATTTTGATATAGCGCTTTTCACGTTTTCTAGATGTCTCAAAGTGCTTCATAGAATATCCTGGAAAGTGAATTGACTGTATATTTTGTGGACGAAACACAGTAGCCAATTGCGCCCAACTGTGTCCCACAAACAGTCATGGATTGAGTGACCAAATTATCATTAAACTTACAAGTCAAGTGTTTTGACGATACGTCAAAGATTAACTTGTGTAAATTGGTCATTACCTTTGCCACGTGTTCCAGCCATCTCCCCAAAGCAATGAAGACAAACAACATTGGTGGAGTATCGAAGAATGTTACTGGGCTTTGATCAGCCTTTTCAGCCATGGCTACAATCAGTATCACGCAGGAGTACAAATAAGAAATGGTTGTAGCCAGAACGATGAGCACATCCATATTGGCTGTTTTGTGTTTGAGAGACTTGTAGGCTTGAATGTAAAAGTACCATCCTCCAATAAACTGTTAAAACAAAAAGAAAATTAGCAGTTGTATTTCAATAACAGGTCCACATAGCACCTTCACAACAGGACAATGTATTCATCTTATTAGTAATAATAATAGTTACATTTGGTATAGTATCTTTCATATCAGGAGGATGTCCTAAAGCACCTTACAAGATATATTGGGATTTGAAAGTGCATACACTAAAATGCAGTGACTGTGCCTTTTGCGGCCAATTTGGCACAGCAATGTCCCACAAATAGCCATAAAGTGAGTGACCAATTTTATCTGGGTGATTGCTGGCCAGAACACCAAGAGAAACTTCCTTCAGTTTTCGAATAGTGCCGTGAGACCTTCAACATCCACCCAAACAGGGTAATGTGGCCTCAGTTTAATATTTCATCTGAGAGCACGTCACCTCCAAAAATTCAGCATCCCCCACCCAGTACTGCATTGAAGTGCCATCTTAGACTATACAAGTCCCATCATACCAGATTATACGAATCATACCAGATGCATTCACTTATCGGAAGACATCCCACTGAAACATTGGCCTGAATTTTCTTTTGAGCAACTTTGAAACTTTTTTAATATAAATTTGGCAGACAGATTCTTAAAGGACTTACAGAAAACAGTCTTCAAACGTAGGGGGACTGAATTGAAAACTTTGCCAAACTCTAGGCAGACTGAAATACAAACAACATAGAGTACATCCAGACCCAGAGGGAATTTCTTCCCAGTAACGTTTCCAAGTCATAACAGGATAAACAACTGCTTGAGTGCATTTGGTGTACGTTGCAGCAAAACGTACATTACATTAAACCATCAGTCACACGTCTCCTTCCTCTGATGATGAAAAGTGCTACAATATTTGAGCGAGGTAAAGACATTTTAAAAGGTGTGTGGGGTGGGTGGGGAGTGGAAAGACATCAAAACATATGGGAGCAGGGAGTGAAATGGTTTGAAATTCTCTTACAGGATCATAACAGTCCAGTTTTGCTGGAAAATATTGAATGCCAAAAAACTGACGCAGAAACAGTGTGGCTTGTTAATTTCCATCCCCCAGTCACTCCCCTCGTCCCCCCCTTAGCCTCCTTCAAGTCCCGCCTCAAGACCCTCCTCTTTGACCATGCCATCCCCCTTCCCCTCCCCACCTTCACCTGCCCACCCCCCGCCCCCCGACCTCAGCTCGGGTCTGAAATGCTGTACTCTGTTCAGCGCCTTGGGACGTCCTCCCGACGTGAAGGGTGCTATACAAATGTAATCTTGTTGTTGTTAACTTAAATGGTTATTGCAGACAAGAGAACATGGATACAAAGAAGTTGGGAGAAAAACTGGGAGAAATGTTTGTCTCCCCAGAATAGAGCACAAGAGTAACCTCCTTGCAGAAGCTATTAATTCATTAACTATTTAAACAGCTTTGATTAATATGTGGTCAACAACAGGATTGACATTTATGCAAGTTTAAGCTTAAATAGAGGAATTTAGAACACAATATGGTTTGGTTGCAGTTGGAACTGTGGAAAATGTATCTAACTCACAAGAGAAGTTTGGATGAAGAAGGCCTCTGGCTAATTTGATCTCATGCAGCATATCAATTCCACTGCCTTCCATTTAGAGCATAAACTATCCAGTGTCCTGGCCTCAAGCATCTTCCAATACCCATCTCCATCTTGAAAACCTCATTTGATTAAGTTATTATTTTCGGGGACATGTTATTCCAAGTTTCTAAAGCCTTTTCTGTGAAGATTTTTTTTCTGCATTCACGTTTAACTGGATTCTAATCCTAAAACAATTAGACAATGACTGGTCTGATGACAGAGCAGCCAGTCAGGTACATTGGCAAGACCTGGAGGGGCAAGCTGGGGGGCATGTACTCTTCCCATTCAGTTCCTGTTAACTCTGCAACCCCAAACCCCATTGGATCCNGGGGGCTACCTCATAAAAGGCAGGAAATTTCATAAGACAGCTGCTCTCCATGTTATGCAAAGTTATGTGGTTTTAGCTGTTTAAAATTCAGCCGTACCTCAATGCACACCAAGCATTGGCTCTTGCCAATCTGCGCCTAATACTCTCTGGAATTAGGTAAGAAGGGTATGTCCCTCCAGAAGAGAGTATGTATTCCATTCCAGACATGGGGATATCTGTGTGAAGGTAGCATACAACGTGGAATTCTCAGTCTGGTTCGGTTACTTTTAATGCCGATAGGTTTCTGCATATGTCAGCCACCAGTTGGCCAAAAAAAGTTTCCTACAGCAGGATATGACTTGTTTTGGCATTTTGATCTGAGGATTAGCTTTTGGTTACACTCACCTGAACAGGAGTACAGAGAACAAAGAAAGCTAGATTCAGTATTGATAAACCAGGAATAATGTTTTGTTCTGGGGGCATGGAGCCATGGTGCTGGTTATCCATCACTATCATATATATCATTAGACCCAAGACAGGGACTCCAAAAACTAGACTAAACAGAAAGGAGTTCTTCCACCTAAAATAAAGAGGAAAAAAAAGTTAATGTGATCTTCATTCGCTTATTGATCTTTCAATAATTAGGTTATTGTCCTTTCCCACACTAGGCTCCATGCGCCTATCATTCCCATCTTTGCCCAGCTCCATTGGCTCTCCAGCCCCCAGCGAACTGAGTTCAAGATCCTCGTCCTCACTGTCAAATTTTCTTCAGTCTTGTCCCACTTTACCTCTGGACCTCCTCATATCGTACCAACCAAGCTGCTCCCTTTGCATCTTCCTGCTTCATGTTGCCACCCTACACCCCACTCCCTCCCCCACCAGCAGTTGGGCTTTCAGTCTACCTGCCCCACTATCTGGAACTCCGCCATGGAGTCCCTCCAACTCATCCCTCTCCAACATTGTTCAAGGTCTGTCTCCAGAGCTACCCCTCTTTGACTGCGCTTTCGATCCTCTTTCCTCTCCGCACCCATTCTCGTCTCTCCTTCAAAGTTCGGGTGCCAAGCCAGGATTAAGCACCTTGGGACATCCTCCCGACTTGGAAAGCACTATATAAATGTAAGTTTGTATTGATCTACTTACTGTTTTATTTCCTCTTTGTGATCCAGATTATGTGCCACAGTGTCCCTTTTGACTAAGTCAGCATTGAAGCCGAGACCCTATAACACAAATGACATCCACTAAATATTTTGCTTTGTTTTGAGCATTCAAACTTCACTAAAGACGAATGAGCACGACAGAAAAAAAGACGGATGCTGGACTCGCATTGAGGAATGGTGTCTGAAGCCCTGGCTGCTGTGGAAAAAACCCTGTTCATGTTGCAACAAACTCTACAGCACAGGTTCCATATTTATATCACAATTCTTGATGTGCACTGATTTAAACGTGGAATTAGGGCTGCAATATGGAGCAGAAAGACTGATGCACTTCTGTGCTCCACGTAGTGTAATAGCAGGCAGTAAAAAGTAAATAAAAAGAAAAACATTTTATGCTCTAAATTTTATTATTAAAGGACACACAATTGCTTCTTTAGGAAGCTTAAAAAAGTCACATTGGGTAAACTTTTGATTCAAACTATTGCTAAAATCATGGTGATCTGATACCAAATATAAATGCAACATTAGACGTAACTAAAACCAGCGTGTATGTTTAAGGACAGAGGTTTTAATGATGCTGTTTGGAGCAATTTGGCCAAAATATCTGGAGAGGGAATATTACTGGTCAGGAAGCACCAAGCGTTTCCCTGGCTTGCGTGGGAGTCAATGTAAGCGAGTGAGCCTCTGCTCAGCATGAGACAAGTAACATGACCACCCTCAATATCATGCATCAGACTCTATCAGTGACATCCGTAGGGTCAAGGAGCACCACTTTTTCCAAAAGAAAGCACAAGATGTATAATATTTCAAATGACTAACTCACGGGAATGATTTTTCTTAGGTATTGAGGCAGCACCAATATCGTCAGATTGGTGCATGCCATGGAATTGGTGTGCGCTACCAAAAGAATGGGAAATGGACCAAAATAATAATAATAATAAATCCTTGCATTTGATACAGCAACTTATCACGTTGTTGAGAACTTCTCCACTATGAAGAATACACTGCAAACTTCGCCCACAAAATATACATCAATTCACTTACAATATATTCGGTGAAGTGCTTTTGGATGTCTTGAAGATATAAGGTGCTATATCAAATGCAAGGATTATTATTATTATTTTTATTGTTAAAGTGAATTGACTATGTATTTTGTGGGTGAAACACGGCAGACAATTGTACACATCAGTGTCCCACAAACAGTCGTGGATTGAGCGACCAAATTATTATTTTTTTTAAAAAGTAAGGGATTATTACCCCTGGAAAGCGATCTGCCAATTGACTAACTTTCTTCTGCAACAAAATGGCCCCAACATATATATTTAGCATTATAAAAGGTTAAAATACAGTTTTTTATGTGCCCGTTTTATACGTAAACCATTCCATCCTTGCTGAGAACGAAAAGCTAATAATAGTTGTACCTCAATCATCTTGATGATGTCACGAGGGCCCAACACTTCTGGGTCAAATTTGATGTGTGACTTGCTGGTAGCCAGGGCCACCGACACATACAAAATGCCGTCAGCTCTGGTTAACTTTGATTCAATATTGTGAACACAAGAGGCACAAGTCATTCCTGTAATCTAAAGAAACCAAATGACAATCCAATGGGTAAAGGAAACATGTGCACGCAAAGAATTGCAACAAACTGAATTAAATACTCAAGTTTAAAAACAACCACAAAAAGAAAATGTAAAGGGAGGTTTGAATGAAGGCATATCTCATCTCTCTTAACCTAACCCTTCCTGAATACCAACTCTACTGCATCCCCATTCATGAAACTAGCCTGCATCCAACCTCAATCAACCTTCCCATTAATCCATCCGGCTGTTCATTACTCTTAATAATGGACGTAGCATAATTATTGGCAAATTTTAAAAATCACAAACCATTAGTGCTGTGGCTTTGCTCAAGAGGTATATATGTATATATATATATATGATGGATCATTTCATAGGAAATCTGTCTTTCCTAAACCAATAACTGATTTGTTTCCTCCTTATCTTGTACTGTTGGCACATGCTTTTATACAAGTCCACAAGCCCAGCATCTCCAGTACTCAAGTGGCCATTCTTCATGTACAAGGTCTGTACACCCTGCCACCACCGCCAACACCACACACCCAGCTCAGAGCTCTGAGGTCAAATGCAGAATTTCTACCATTGCCCAACAGAGATCACGCAACTTGTATGGAGAAATCAAATACTACTACTAATAATAATCCTTGCATTTGACATAGTGCCTTATCATGTCTTCGAGACGTCTCAAAGCACTTCACAGAATATACTGTGAAGTGAATTGACTATATATTTTGTGGGTGAAATGCGGCAGCTAATTGAATGACCAATTTATTATTATTTTTTTTATTTGAAGGAATTATTACCCCTGGAAAAACGATCTACCAATCAACTTACAACCAGCTTCCTACTTACTGCTAGGTAAACAGAGGAGTGTGGAGTCAGGAAACTTGACCAATGTTTCGCCCTGCCTGGAATTGAACCCAGGTCCACTCACTGGAACCATTTGGGTCTACAAGGAACTGTTTCAGTTTGCACAGTGTTTACCACCTGAAGAGCTTTGTCATTAACATACAATGTACACAGTGGAATATGATCGTTCACCCACACCCTCCCCAAAATATAGCATCCACCTACATTCAACCTTGAGCATTCAGTGAGTCAGAGCAATCATATTCATTAAGCCTGACAGATTGCAATAAAAAAATTCTGAATTTCAAATTAAGTTTTTTTTGTTTCACTTATTATTTTCCTCAATATCAGAACCCTGTGTGTAACTATAGAACATCATTAACCTTTCAGCAGCAATGAGACAGTGCCCAAATCCTTTCAAAGCAGCAAGATGATAAATGAAACAGAACTTATTCGGAAACTGCTCTCACGAAAGTGTATCATATGCAGGTGGTGATCCTCAGCTGTTGAATACTAATGGTAAATACTAATTTTACACATCATTTATAAAAATGTTGTAACTCAAACATATTTACCCATCACTATAGCCTACTAAGAACTGATACACTATTAATCACAGTGGTTTAAAATAAACACTGGATTCTGCAGTGTGAATCACTAACATGACAAAACGTACAACTTGCACTTATATGGCATCTTTCAACAACAACAACTTGCATTCTCACAGGGGAACGAGAGATTCGGCTCACATAGGCCAAACATCTCAAAGTGTCTCATAGAGATCACTGAGCCGGGGGGAAAGAAGAATTTGGAAAGGAGTGGGGTAGATAAAGAACTGATCAAAGGCACAGTCAAAGCATACTTACAATAAGTTCCAGTTTTCCATCCGAGCCATCATGGTCTTCTATAACAGTTGCTCCAAATCCTAGATCTTTGATAAATCCTGCAATTTCAGGTGGTTGTACAATGTCTGGATTATATTTCACTTCGGCCTTCCCTGCCATGAGAGCTACCAGAACTGAATGGATACCTAAAAAAAGTTTACATTTTTTGAGATATTCATCATAAAATCAGTTGGATTGAAGGTTTTTCTCAAGATTGCCTCTGAAAGAGTTAAAAGAGATTGGGAAGCTTTTTTTAAGCAGACCGTGATTAAAATATATAACGTGGAGCACTGCACTATCAGAGGTGTCATCCTTTGGATAAGATGTTAAATTGACTCTCTGTCCGCCCACTCAAGTGGGTGTTAAAAGATCCCATGACACTATTCAAAAAGAGAAGGGAATTTCACCTATTGTCCTGACCAACAATTTCCCAAATAAAACTGTTCATTCATTTCATAGTTGTTTGCGGGACATTGCTGTGCATAAATTGCCTACTATCTTCGCCCACAAATATAGTCACAGTAAAGTCCTGTAAAGTGTTTTGACAATGTGGCTGTTAAGGCGCTTTATCAAATGTAAGGATTATTAATTGTTGTTATAAGTTCTTTATTTGTGACAGTGTCGAAAACAATCCCTTCTGCTTGAATGTGATATAGAGGAGTAATTAAAAAAAACTTAGCGGCTCTACTGGTGGCACAATGAAAAATAGAAATTCTAATGCAAATGTCTGGTAGGGAAACACCAAAAATATAAGCAAACAAATCAAAACTGGATAGCACGAATGAAAAGTAATTAGGTTTAAAAGTAGCTTAAAGACTGTGACACAGATGACTGTAAACTCTCAAGCAAAGCTCTTATGGTTTATGACCACAATTTAATCTTTTAATTGTTGTGCCTTAGAACACTTCCAGACGTTATTCAATGTCTTGAAGCAATGTCATTTAATTTTACACTATATTAGTTACAAAGTTCCTGACACAAAAGGTTTTCCTGTTAATTGAAACTTACTAACCTGAACACTTTACAATGTTCCATTTCACGCCAACTCACTGTAATGTAGGACCATTAAATATAATCACACAACCTTTAACAATATGTGTTGTTAAACAAAAGTTTTTAATTTTTTTTTAAAATTCAGACTAAGTGGTGCAAGGTAAACGTTTCTGAGATTAAATTATTTATGGTCTCCTCACGCTATTTCCCTCAATTAAAATCAAGATGTAAATAACTTTTATTCTCGGCGATTTTCACACTTTCTCTTGAAGGCACCAACTCCTGGTGGGATACGGCTCCACCACACAGGATACCCCTTCATTTTTATTGGTCAGCCAAGTGCTTGACACATGCAGAAACCCATCACCATGCGTAAGAGTATCCAAACAAAGCTGAGATTTCCATGCATCCCACATGGAAATCCCAGCGCTAGATTGTTGGAATGGAATGTGCATTCTCTCCCTGGATGGAGACATCCTGTTTACCTAATTCGGAAAGTATTAGGCACAGGTCGATGAGGGCCAAGTCTTGGGGACCCCAGAGTGTGCGTTGGGGTACTGCTGGAGTTTAACCAGCTAAAGCTGCACAGCTTGTCATTCTTCATGGCTTATCCAAGACAGTGAATATTACCTATTGGACTGGGAGGAGGGGAGCCTGATCTTGTCCTTGCTTAATATTCGCTACATTTATTTTGCAACGGGATTCACTAAATAATGATCAGCGATGGGGCACAAAGGCAAATTGCAGTGCACAACAACACCACCACCACCACACAAGCATGTATAGAACAAAACACAAACGACGAAAGGTCGTGGACCCGAAACGTAGACTCACTTTCCTTTCTCCATTTTCCCAGCTCTCTCTGTTTTTGTTTCAGCCTTTATAGAGCCCCTTCATGCAGGATAGTGTCTTGGGATACAATGATGGTTACCTGTTCCACTGATGGTTAGCACGGACAGGGAAACCCACCTGAAACTTTCTAGCTGCATGATTTAGTGTTAAACAAGACTTGGTGGTTTTTACCAACGAGGCAATCAGGTGGAGGGGGTTGGGGCATGAAAGGGAGGGGGAGCTTATTCCACTTTTTCAGACATGTTTTTCATCACGTATCATCTTTACAAAACAAATCTCAAAGGCTTATTAGGGTGAGCAAGATATGGCACGTATTCTAAATTTTGAAAAATCTAATCTTATATTATTGTGTTAGTCCGTCAATGTATCCACACTGTCTGAAGGTTACTGAACAAAATAGCAATTTCAGACAAGCCAACGTGCTTCACGCTAAAGGGTTTGTACAACAACAATAACAATTTCCTTTTACGTATTTCAACCACAGAAGAAAACTGCTCACCTTCTTCTTTCTGAAGATTCCTTTCAATATTGGCAACACAGGAGGCACAGGTCATTCCAGTTACTTGTAGGAAGCACTTCTCGGATGGGGGCAACACTCCATGGTTCTCAGTATCTGGGTTGGATTTGGGGGGGAGAAACTCGAGGATGTAATCACTGGGTTGTGTTTTACCAATGTCCTTCATTTTCTTCTTCCTGACAACTGGTGCTTTTCTCGTGGCCAGCGGCGATGGTCTCTCTGAATCATTGGTGGTGGTGGTGGAGCAGGGATCATTTGCACCCCCAACATCTGCATTCAACACAGGAAATCAGAGATCAAATGGCGACATTAGCTTCCTCTCAAGCCTTTTTGCTGAGGAAGAATTTGTGGTGTAGCAGGTCTGGCACTTCACCAAAATATAACCAAGATGAATTGACTTCAACAAGGATGCCCAAATTGTAATAATAATAGTCATCCTTGCATTTGAAATAGTGCCTTATCACGTTGTTGAAACATCTCAAAGCGTTTCACAGGATGTACTCCACAAACAATCATGAAATACAATTTTTTATGGGGCTGATTATTACCCTTGGAAAACGATCCACCAATCAACTAACAACTGAGTTCATACTTACTGAGAGGTAAACAGAGGCGTGTGGAGTAAGGAATCTTCCCTAATGGGAATCAAATCAGGCCCTTTCGCTTATGAGTAAAGGGTGCTGACCACTACGCTATGGGACTCCACAATGTAAGGCAGGTTTGGAAGATATGCACTTAGGCAAATCTTGGGTTGTCTGCTGGCTGAGCGTCACAATTGGGAGCAGATATTTTCTGTATTTACTGGATGATCCACTCACTCCTCATATTTTGAAATTGAAAAAACAACAATTTCATTTTTAAGTATTTCAACCTTGCAAACAAAGGCTTTGAATAGCCTTAGCAGGCCCAATTAATCAATCAATGCTTCATAATCTACGTAAACATTTTGGCATAAATCATTCAACTTGCTTTGCACAAAAGTCCCAGGGTGTCAGCCTGACTCAGATGGTAGCACTCACCCTTCTCCGTCAGAAGGTTGTGGGTTCAAGCCCCACATTTTGACTGAGCTCATAGTATAGGGGGAGTGCTGCATGGTCAGGGTGTCGGCCTTCAGATGAGATGGCAGCCAATCTGTACAAAGCAATGTCCCACAAACAGCCATGAAGTGAATGAACAATTTTATTTGGGGGGGGATTGTTGGCCAGGACACTGGGACACCGTGAAGTAACAACAGCAATTGTATAAGAAATAAAGAAGCTGTCATATCGAGTTACTGCTAACCTACCAGACAAAGAGGCTATGAATCCCATCTCATCTATTGCAGTTCTCAATTCTTCAGAGTTTGTGAGCGATGGATCAAAGTGAATGTTCCCAATCTCTTTGGTTAACGATACTTTAATCGATTCCACACCTTTCCTTTGGGAAATCATTTTTTCTATAGACTCAACACACGAATTACAAGTCATTCCTTCAATCTTAATTGTTGTGCTAGTTGTCGTTTCCAAGTGTTCTTCGGCATTATAGCTTGGTTGGTGTGGGAATGGTGTAACCGGAACGGATGACAAAGTGGCATTTCTCATTTCAATCCCATTCAGAAGAGATACTTTAAATTTCCCTGGTGGTATGGCCTCAAGGGCTAATTTTAATGATGTTGGTGAAGTCAAGCTTGGATCATACTTTGCAATAGCTTTCTTACTCTCCAGAGACACTGTAATGCTCTGTACACCTGGGAGCTCTCTGAGATTTCCTTCAATATTACCAACGCAAGACTTGCAGTGCATTCCCTCTATGCAGAAAGCCACAGTTAATAAGTTACCTGCCTCTTTGATTTGTGAATTCTTGGCTTTATTGCTCTTTATGTTATTCAAACCATCATAGGTCATGGCACCTAGTTTTAGGGGAGCTAGTTTGCTCTTGATGGTGGCCTGAAAGCCAGCATCAATAATTTGGTTGCGGATCTCATCCAGCTGAATGATATAAGGCTGGTATATAACAATTGCTTCCCGGCTGTTAAGAGAGACTTTAATTCGCTGGACACCTTGCAATTTCCTGATTTTACTTTCAATTGTACTGACACACGAATGGCACGTCATGCCTTCCACCTTCATCTTCCCCACAGCTTCGAGAGGTAAGGGAACGGTTTGAAGTGAAGGCATCCTTTGGTTAGCAGGAGATGCTTCAAAGCCCATGTCATCAATTGCTTGACATATTTGTTGGGCGCTGATGACTGTGGGTACATACTTCAGCTTGGCATTACTGTGTTCAAGAAATACCTTGATGCCTACAATGCCCTTCACTTTAGAGATATGACCTTCTATTGATTGCACACATGACTGGCATGTCATGCCTACGATATTGATGGTTGTTGTGCTTGTGTCGGCTGGGAGAGGAAAAGGTTCGCCCAGGCTGGCTTCAAATCCAACATCATCGATGGCGTGTCGTAGGGACTCGGGGGTTTGCTGAGCGGGATTATAGACCAGAGTAGCATTGCTCTTCTCCAAAGATACCTGGAAGAAAACAAAATACGAGTTCATATTATCTTGAAGGAGTCTTAACGTTGATTTACCCCAAAGTAGCACTTGATTTCTGGAAATCTCCCATCTCACTATGTCCATCCCCTCTCAGTTTTTAAAACCATTCCAATAAAAAGCTGAAGACCTATTGTCTAATGTTCCCAATCCACTTAACAGGATTTACAGAGCAATGTCTCCAAACAGACATGAAATTTCATAATTTCATTATTAAACAAATGACCAATTTGATTTAGGGGATTGTTGACCAGAAAATCAGGAGAAACTCTTTTCTCTTTTCAAATAGTGCCATAGGATCTTTATCTTCCGACCTGAACAGGCAGACGGACCTCGGTTTAATGTTTCATTGAAAGGACGGCGCCTCCAGCAATGCAACACACCCCAGCAATGTACTGGAGTGTCATCTTAGATTATGGAGGTTCAAGTCCCGACGTCGGGCTTAATTACCTGATTAACTAAATAATTAACTGAGGTAAATGCCCTCCACTCCTCCTGATCCCACCACCTGCTCGGGTCCAAATTCCTGATTGTCAAGTGCCTTGGGACATCCTCTCAAAGTGAAAGGCTCTGTACAACTGTAATTATTTGTTGTTGAGCCAAGCTGACTCACACCTGTATGAGACAATGTGCAATGTCACTACAGTTGGAATCATGTTACCATTATGAAGCTCGTTCATGTCACAGACACAATGGATTCATTGTAATGCTAACTTTACTTTGTTCGAATTAGTTTGGTTATATACAGTATTACAGTAAAATCCTGTAGCGTATTGCTTAGAATGCTCGCTTCGTAAAATAGAGGACCCGGGTTCGATTCCCAGGCAGGCGGAAACCTTACTCAAGTTTTCTTACTCCACACATCTCTGCTTACCAAGCAGTAAGTAGGAACCCGGTTATTGGCAGATCGCTTTCTGGGGGTAATAATCCACTTAAAATGTTTTAAAAAAAAACATAATACATCCACACACAAGCAGGTCACTTAACCACAATTATTTGTGGGACACTGCTGTGCACAATTGGCTGTCACGTATCGCCCCAAAAACATACAGTCAATTCACTTTACATAGTCTGTGAAGATATCTCAACGATGTGATAAGGCTCTATATTAAATGCAATGATTATTAGTAGTAGTATTATTAGTAATATTATTATCTTAAAGAGAATCAGACATGTAGCAGTGCACTGTAGTAATATAGGGCTTCAGTAGACCACTTGAGTTTTACTCTCGTCATTCACGAATACATTCTTACTATGGTTTTTTGCCATCAAATGCCACAAACCCAGCTTCACCACATTAAAGTACTAACCTGATCTGCGCCCGTGCTAAGCCTCTCAGAGTTACAGTCACCCTGAAGTAAGTCTCCGTTCTTTTCACATGACGGTAGTTCCAAACAATCACTGACGATCCACGGAGCGCAAACACCGGTGGGTGACTGATCTGAACCTTCAGACACTGAGGGCAAGAGGTTGTCACCCCTCAGACAAGAATCCAAAGGCTCTGCCTCCAGTTTCTCCTGAACCCCAGTCATTCCAATCTTTCCTGAAGATCCACTCATCGTCGTCTAACGCAAGCTAAAGATTCACTTGTTTAACTGAAGTGATTTAGAAAGTTTAAAAAATCCATTTAGGTTTCGTTAACACCACTTCAGAAAACTAGTCTTTGCTGTAGCGCTCAGCCAAACTGAGTGCAAACTGAGTGCAGAGATAATCCTCACCAGTTTAACATACACAGCAATCTAGGGACGGGCTGCACCCAGTTCAAACAATGCCAAGCAATCACCTGTTTGCATTTCCTCCTCCCACCCCTCACGGACTGCTTGCAGCACTACCACACTGCACACGGAACTGTAAACTGGAAAACAGCTCAATGGAAACGCTCTGAGTTAAGCCGTGTGCATCTGTTACGTCAATTGATATATAATCAGATTCCATGGTGCTGATAGAAGTAAACACTGAATCTATTGAGTAATCTCAGGGCTCTTAAGTGCATTGCAACAGAATTATTTCCTTCACTAAAACTTTTAACCTAAATTAAACCTAAACCATTAAGCGTTCTGACCTGCTGAGTGTTCCCATCGACTTCTGTTTTTGTTGCAAGCCTTCTAAATTACTATTTTAACATTGTTGCAGGAGCACAGTGTTTAAAAACAGCATTTAATTACTTAATATTTTGTAATGATCATTGCATTTGATATACAATAGTGCCTTTTACGTTGGAAAGACATCTCAAAGCACTTCACAAGATTTAATGTAAAGTGTAGGGACTGTGCACTATGTTGTCACACGGGGCAGACAGTTTGCACGCAGTAATGTTACACAAAAGTCATAAAGTGAATGATCAATATTTTCTGGGGGATCATTGGCCAGGCACCGGGAGAAACTCTCTTTCTTCTTTTGAATAATGCCATGGAATCTTTAACGTCAACCTGAGTAGATAGACAAGTCCTCAGTTTAAAACCTCCAACAATATAGCTCTCACAAACTGTGTATTGTGGGCAAACTAATTAAACTAAGTTGAACCAGTCATCTAAATGTGCAGTTCTGCCAGAACTGTACGCAGAAAAATTTGTTGACATCAATTTTTGTGCAGCACACATAGTCTTCAGCCTACTCTTCTGCGAACCAATGCATTGATAATTCATATCTGCGCATTTCTATATGGGGAGATATCCATCTCACTGCAGGAAAATCTCACCCAAGGTGTCTGTACGGAGTAGCTCTGAACGGAGGCAAAAATCAGAGGATACTTACGGCTTTTGGCAGGTGAGTGAGATTCCCCGATACCTCAATTTATTGACCTTGCTATTGTAAGCTCATCCTCCTACTAAGGTTAGTCAATTTACTGACAATTGCAGAATAACACAAGAGAAAGTCTAGGGGGAATCCTTAAGTGTATGCTATAAAATTGAGCAATTGCTGACAGGGACGCTAAATAGTTGAGAGCCAAATAGCTGAAATTGGAAGAGCTACAAAGGGAACAGAATTTAGAAAAAGAGGGGAAAACAAACCTTTAAGTGTTTTGAGACTCTTAACAGAAACCCGTTTTAAGTTATTAGCTACTTATATTTATGCCTACTTTCAGTGCAGTAAATCAACAAGAGTGAAGCTGTGTAAGATAAACCCAGGACTGAACAAGCACCCGATTAAAGGTCACCTTCAAGAAAATACGGAACGAATGCCAGGCTGAGCCACAGAAATATCTTGCCGGGCAGTGCTGTCAATGGTAAACTATACAGTTTTAGTTAGTTATATGCCCCAATGCATACTCTGGGGTCCCCAATTCTTGGCTCTTGCCAACCTACACTGAATACTCTCTGGAATTAGGTAAGCAGGATGCATCCCTCTGGGGAAAGAGGTGCATATTTCATTCCAATAAGTATCTTTGGAATTTCCATGTGTAGGTAGTTTATATGGAATTCACAGTTTGGTTTGGGTGCTCCTAAGCATAGTGATGGGTTTCCGCATGTGTCAGACACCCGGATGACCAAAAAACATTGCAGCAGCAATGACAACAATTTACATTGATGTAGCCCCTTTCACGTTGGAAGGATGTCTAAAAGCACTTCACAAGATTCAATATAAAGTGTAGCAACTGTGTATTTTGTTGGTGAACGTGGCAGCACATTTCCATATAGCTATATCCCACAAATGGCCATGAAGTGAATGATTGATTTTATTTGTGGGATTGATTGTTGGCGAGGAAACCCGGGGGAAACTCATTTCTTTTTTTGAATAGAACCATGGGGCACAATATTGCCTCTAATCAGTAATAATAATAATCCTTGGATTTGATATAGTGCCTTATCACGTATTCTAGACGTCTCAAAGAGCTTCACAGAATATGTTGTAAAGTGAATTGACTGTAATATTTGTGGGCGAAACGCAGCAGCCAATTGCGCACAGCAGTGTTCCACAAACAGTTGTGGATTGAAAATGACCAATTTATTATTATTTTGTTTTTTGGAGGGATTATTATTAGGTGTGTGGAGTAAGGAGACTTGCCCAAGGTTTCGCCGTCTGCCTGGAATTGAATCCAGGTGTCTTGCTTAATCCCTTTAATCCCACTGCACCTCAACAGGTGCACCTAACCGACACGAACAGGTAGATGGAATCTCAGTTCAATGATCATCAGAACACAATGTCTATCCAAACACAAGGCAGATTGCTATCATCAGTTTTATTATTTTTATCAAGAATTATAAAAGTAGCTTGGCATTATATTATTTAACAAATGATCGTTACTTTACCCAGGTATCCTGCATACACATATTTAAAATAAAAACAAAGAAAAATCAGTTAAGTTTCAGTAAAAGAAGCCCATTGCGTCCCCACACCTGCTAGGATGCCAATGACAGCAGCAACATGAAATCAAAATGCCACAAATTTTTCAAATGCATTCATATTCACTGCCAGAAGTATTTGGAATTCCTGTGTATATATACACACGTGTATCCTGTATATACACACACACACACACCACACATACACGTGTGCGCAATTGGCAGCTGTGCTTTGCCCACAAAATATAGTCAGTTCACTTTACAGTATTTTTTGCTGAGTGTTCCCAGCGACTTCTGTTAAAAAAAAATACAACATCATCTGGGTCTGAGACACAGCTCTTCTCTCTCTGGTCTGCCTATTTTGTTGCAATCCCCCCCCGTTTGTTTTAGATCATTAACACCTCTTTAACCCATCATCCCCTGTCCTCTACCCTATTTTCTCCTTTGCCTTCCCTGCCCTGTCTCCCCCTCTCTCTGTTAGCCCTTAAAAGCCTCTCCCTTCCAACATGCCCCAGTTCTGACGAAGGATCATGGACCCAAAACATTGACTCACTTTCCTTTCTCCATAGATGCTGTCTGACCTGCTGAGTGGTCCCAGCCACTTCTGTTTTTGTTTCACTTTACAGTATATTCTGTGACACGCTTTGAGACATCTCAAGAGTTGATAAGGCGCTATATCAAATGCAAGTATTATTATTATAATAATCCCTGCTACCTCTGGTGAAAGCAAGTGAGTAGACCATGAATTAACAGCAGTAACCACTTGAAGCTTTTGCCAAGAAAAAAAAGTGGCAGTTGGTATGTACTTTAAAAAAAAACTCCCCCTAATTTCCCCTTAAATCTCATTACGTTGGAATTATTTTATTGGTAGAGAGAATTGCATACAATTTTTTTTTAATTTCACAACTCTGAAGCTCACCAAGAGAACTTCCACAAACGAACTGGTAGAAGGTAGCTATATTCAAGCCTCGATTAATCAATATGATCAAGTTACACAGGTCAAAATACAAATTTGCTTTTCCAGAATGAAAGCACACAGGAGTCATTGACCTTGCAGGAAAAAGGGGATGGTCTGGGGCGGGGGTGGTGGTTAGTGAGTACATGAGTACAGATCTTTTAAAAATAATTAATTTCTTTACAAATCCGACATTTAACATTTTTACGTGGAACTCTCAGTCAAGTTTGACAGTGATGGGTTTCTGTATATGTCAGACATCTGGCTGACTAAAGGAAGTTGCGAGAAATGATTATACAATTATAAGTAAACTGCCATAAACCATCAAAAGAAAGTTGTTTTCAAATTAATAAGGTGGTTTTGCTGTAGACTGTGAACCTTACTAATTTGTCCTTCAATTTCTAGATTGAATCTCATCTAGCCCAAATGCTTTGTGGACATTTAATCCTTCTACTTTTCTACCGAACACAAGTTTTATCAACTTCCACACATGCTGCGCATCCCTTCACCATTATAATTGTAACTGGGATTTGTTTGCAGTATTCGTTTCTAAGTGGTGTAAAATGCACTTTCAATATATACCTTCTGCTATTCCATCATCATCTATAAAGGTCCAACCCATTGCATCTCTCACAGACCCATCTGTTCTTTAGCTCACTGCTCACTCAGCTGAAATATTTTTATGGCCGTTTCAACAAGAGATTTGTCTCTTGTTGCACTATTTTCTCAATCTTTCTTTATCCAAGTTCAGCTTTTTTTTACTGTAGAAAGTCACCTACAAAATATTGCAGTCAGCACACTTTTCAGTATATAATAATAATCCTTGTATTTGATATAGCGCCTTATCACATCTTCCAGACGTAGCAAAGTGCTTCACAGAATATACTGTAAAGTGAATTGACTGTACATGTTATTGGTGAAACACAGAAGCCAATTGCACACAACAGTGTCCCACAAACAGTCGTGGATTGAGTGACCAAATTTTTTTTTAAGGGATTCTTACCCCTGGAAAAACGATCCATCAATCAACTAACAACCCGGTTACCATTGACTGCTAGGTAAACAGAGGCATGTGGAATAAGGAAGGCTGTCAGACAGTTGCCCAACATTTTTCCCCGCCTGGAGAATCGAACCCAGGTCCTCTTGCTTGCAGGATTAGTGCTCTGACCACTAAGCTGCAGGATATCCCGTGAAGTGCTTTGAGATGTCCTCCCAATGCAAAAGGCACTGTATCAAACACAAAGAATAATAGTTGGAATGCGAGTTGACATGTTGGTACGTGGCTTTTTTCCCCTGACCTGAGAATACCTTCATGGATCTATTAAATGACACCAGATTTGTCCTTCATGGTAGTATAGCAGGATAAACATTCAAATGTTGAGACCCCTGGTTTTTTTTTGGTAGATGTGTGAATCCTTACAAATGGACACATGCCACTGAATCTCTCTCACAAGTTGCTCTCCAAACCAACAAGTTCTATCTAATGCACAGATGCACACAGATGTGTGTGTAATGCACACACACTTGTGTCAGAGGTAGTAAATTTTCCCTTAAAGGTCTTCTGCTT